TATTGAGGAGATAGAATGTGTATAAATACCTTGAAGGACTTCATATGTAACCATTGAAGAGTTCAAACAATCCCAAGTTCCTTACATAACTTTCAAGTACCTTACATATAAGTGTCCTGATTTTGAGTGTTAAAAGAGAGAAAACAATGTGTATGCTGAAAAATGGTTTTGAATGTTAAAGATAGAAAACGGTGTATATGCTGGAAAAACGGTTGAACAATTCATTAGGAAGTAAGTATTGGTAACCAAAACCCAGATAGATAATCCAACCTTAATCCCAATTTAGCACACAAAATATACTTCTATGCTTTTTTCAACACCCAACTGCTTGCATCTCATTAATACTCAGATTAGGACTTCCATCATATCAACATTTATATCAAATTGTTGGTTAGGTTCAACAACTGTTGTTTGACTCCTCCTGGTTAGAGTTGAAAGCAAATATTAATCCGCGGCTACTATCTCAAAACACAAGATACTCAGCGAATTTTATTTTATTTTTGGAATGATGTCGAAGTTCCCGGAATGGAATGCTCATTGCTCAGGAGGAGCCTGACCAAGTTGTGGCCTCTATTCATATAGGTACGAATTGAAGCTGGTGTCCACTAGTATTGTATATTTCATGAGTTTGAATGCAATTGGGCCTTGGATTAATGAGCAACTCCCTGTACCTGCTGAATGGGCATCATTTATTAAAGAAATGGAATGCTACGGATGGCTTAAGAGATTCATATTGAATAGAGATACGGGAAAGATATCTTACTTCTTGGCCGTTAAGTCTATTGAAGTGATCTGGGCGACGAACAAAAGGCACGAGAGAGAAAGTCTGATATCCACTGCAATCCGTCCCTTGAGGTATATTGTTGAGTTTGTTTCATATATGGATTAGAAATATGAGTTTGTCTCATACTAGGAGTAGAAGTGAAACGGGTAGACCCATTATACATGAATTAGATAGCTATAAATATATTGGTTGTATCCCTAAGGGGTAATGTCACCACTATCACCATCACTATGAATATAACATTTATATCAAATTAAAATTCATCATAATAAACCAACCCAAAAGCAAATTCACAATGGGTTGTCCAAAAAGTTAATACAGTAACTCAAGTCATAATTGCATCCAATGCGTATTAATTGGCCATGTCCGTCGTAATAATATAATTTCATAAAGGCTTTATCGGGCATCCGGGTGACCATCTTAATACTACAGCGGTTCTTAAGCTAAGCTTGCGAGGCTCACCTCGCCTGTAAGTAAAATCTTATTACCTCTTCTGCATGTTCTACCTGGGTTGTCGTACTGGGCTACCTCCGGTAGTTCTTGAAACTCGGGGAAAACGCAAGATTGCCATGCTTGGTTGCCTCCGGCGGTGATGCATTAAAAACTCTCCTTCCCCGAGGTTGAGCGGATCCATTTTTTTTTTTAATAACAAGATTTCAGAGTGCTGTTAGAATCTTGATTGATTATATTATATTTGTACAGGATGGATTGATTTGTTTTTGCCCGCTAAAATTTGTTAAATTCGTTATCGGGATTGTAACTGATTCTTTAAAAATAAAAATGGTGGATTTTGATCAATCATTATTGTATGGACCATGGCCCACAAAAGTTGTGTGTATCATATTTTGTCTACTGTAAAATAATGTATATTCAGTACAAAAATAATATATATTGTATTCCAGAGATATACATTATTTTTGTTCTGAGTGTACATTATATTGTATAATTTATATTTAATACAAAAATAATATACATTTAGTATATTAAAAATATACTTTTTGTTATGGTCCACATAACATTATGTGGACCATGATCTACACAATAATTTGCCCATTTTGATCGCTCAACAGAATATGACGGATTCTCTCTAAGACAGTTTCGCTGGGGACGACAAACCCTTAGGCTATTGGGCCATTGTGGGGGACTTCAATGAATCCAAGTTCCATGTTTCAATTTTTTTTAAAAAATTAATTTAAAATTAATATTAAAAAGTTAATAAGTGTATATTAAAACAATTTGGATAGTTTAAATAAACATTAATATATTTATAAAACACAATAATAACTAGTAAAGTAATAAGTTTTAATAATTAAAGAGAAAATGACACTTTTTCTCCCTAAATTATTTAAGTAGAAGTTTTCCTCCCTAATATGTTAAATGGACATATTTACCTTTAAAATAAATATTTCATTTACTTTTCTTCTCTAACAAATTATAACCACGATTTCGTACAAACCGAGCGACACTATAGCAACCAAACAGAAAGGTTATGATGACAATTTAAAACCAGAACTCGATATTTAGAGTTTATTAAAATCGCGAATTGAAAATGCTAGTTCATGTTCTGAATTATATTGAAAAATAAATAAAATACATTTGTTGTTAAATTTAGAATATTTTTAAAATAAAAAATAAAATTTTAAAAGAAAGTTTGAACCAACCGTTCAAATTGGATTTGAAACCGTGAATTGACGGTTCAAAATCAAAACTAAATCACGTTTATATATGCTTATATGTGAGAATCAGAATAAATGCGAGTAAGAACATACACTATTTCAAAATATTATAATTCTAATTTTAAGCTAATGCTAGTAGTTGTTCCAATTTGAACCTCTGGATCCATCTTTTTCAGTTCACGATTTTAATAAACGAAAATCTAAATATTGGGTTCTGGTTCTGTATCATAACAAAAAAAATTCGATTTGATTACAATAAGAATATATATATATATATATATATATATATATATATATATATATATATATCAGGAACAACACTCGACCCTCAATGAGGAATTATAAACAATCCTCGTCCTGTCCCCATTTTCCAAAAAATTTCCCCATATCCCTTCCCAATGTTGTGGGAATTGAGGATCTCGTTGAGGATAGGAAAAATTGAAATCCTATCAATTATTGTGGCAATGTCACATTTAGTAGTACTTTTTTTAATTTTGTCATATTAAATCCTTAATTTGTATTTGCAAGTCGCAATTAGTCATCTTTTCTTTTTAAATTATTGTAATTCAACTGTTTAATAAATATGACTAACATGTAACTTCTTCATTCAATTAAAAGAGAATGAGAGAAATTGCTTATTGGAGTAAGATGTTTGAATGATAAAATTATACATTAACTGCCTTTATTAAATTGTAGAATGATATTTTTAAACGGATGACTAATTATAACAAACAAAGAATAAAAATCAATAATCAGTAATATAATTAAGCTAAATTAAAAGAATATAATTAAATGTAACAATGTTACAATAGTCGATGACCAAAAATAAAATTTGCTCTTAAATAAATTATAAATGTACTTTTGTACTAAATGGGTCTTAACAATTACCCTCCTCTATCCTTATAAATATTATTAATGGGTAAGAATTTATTGATTTTTTACTATTTACAAGTTATAATATGCTCATTAGTAAACTAATGTTCAATGTCACAATTAGAGTGAGTAAATAATTAATATAAATTTTAAATGTGAAATTTAATCAATTTAAGATAGGATTTATGATTTCAAAATAATTAAAATGGGTATTTTCATAAAAGTAATAGTAAAAAAAAAAAGTATTATTGTAGATAGTTAATAAGAATTGAAAATAAAAATAATGTGTTAATAATTTTTATATTAAAATAAATTAATATTCCTTCATACGATTTTGATGATCAATTTTTTTTTTTAATTTTTTATATTGAAAGTAACGTATCTATAATGTACTCAAATTAAAATTACATGATTATTATATATTAACATAGGAATTTAATTTGGTAGGTGATTGATCAACATACCTTTTTGATGGTTTTATCGGGACCGGGTCCACCATAAATCGGGTATAGAAAATATAGAACGGAATAAAAGAGCTATTATTGGCAATCGTTATGCTGTGCATCCGGTTGCACCGTACTTGGTGCATCCGGATCCACACGACGTCGTTTAGGGAGTAACGGTGCCGTTAGTGGCACCGTTTCACTCCACCAATCAGATATTTTTTTTTTTTTTTAAATAAAACAATGCTCCTTCGTTTCTTCTCCACTGCATTTCACTTCCCGCACTCCATTCCTTCTCCAACACGATACCCTCCGTAAACGCTTCAATCATCTCCATTTCCTTACCATTTCTTTAGCATTTTCTAGCTTTCAAACACACTCGTCGTCGCTATTGTAGCCGGCGTCCGATCATCGCGTATTCAACAGCGCTTTCTCTGTAAACCAGAGCTCATCATCATCCTATAACAGGTATAAATGCATTTTACGTTGATACATAATGCATTTACACAAAACAAGCATTCATTTTGAGTATATATTTATGAAATTTTAAACTAGGGTTTTATACTGTTTAATCTTGTATGAATGTATAGTTATTTGATTATTAACGTGCATGGTTATGATTATGGGTTTATGAGTATATTTATAAGTTTATGGAACTGTAGTTTTACAATTTTGGAAGTATAGTTGTACATTTATGGAATTGTAGACATACAGTTTTGGGTGTAGTACTCTGTTAACCTTACTCTGTGCACCAAACTGCATTCATGCCTTCTTAACATAATTTGCTTTGTGCGTATACTTATGGAATTGTAGTTTTACAATTTTGGAAATATAGTTGTGCGTTTATGGAATTGTAGTTATAGAGTTTTGGATGTAGTACTCTGTGAACCTTACTCTGTGCACCAAACTGCATCAATGCCTTTTTAGCATAATTTGCCTTGTAGGTATGCTTATGGAATTGTAATTGTACAATTTTGGAAGTATAATTGTGCGTTTATGGAATTATAGTTATACAGTTTTGGATGTATTACTCTGTGAACCTTACTCTGTGCACCAAATTGCATTCAAATCCTTTTTAGCATAACTTGCCTTGTGGTATACTTATGAGATTATGGAATTGTAGTTTTACAATTCTGGAAGTATAGTTGTGTGTTTATGGAATTGTAGTTATGAAGTTTTGGATATAGTACTCTGTTAACCTCACTTGATGTTTTTTATTTGCAGAAATGGATCAGTCAGGTGTGGCAGATGATTCTACACTTGGTCAATTTGTGAAGTCTGTAAAAAAGAGAACAACCAGAGCAGTATTGAGCTCACAAGCTGCTGAACTCACCCCTGCCCCGGAAGATCAAGCAGAGCCTTCGACAAGGCAACAACCAGCAGCTGTAAAAAGAAAGAGGGCACCACCACAAAAGCGAGAGAGAGTACGGGACCCTGATGTTAACTACTTCAGTACACGAATGGGTCCCAAGCAAATGTATGACCTTGTCCAGCGTCTAACACATAACCAAAAGGATGCTGTGATTGATATGGGTTTTGGAGGGCTGCTGCACCTACAATTTTCAAGCAATTACTCACAACTTGTTGAGTATCTCCTGCAAAGGTTTGATGTTTTCAAATCAGACTTCATATTGGATGGTGACCATCTACATGTCGGTGAAGAGGATGTTGAATACATCTTGGGACTCCCCCGGGGGAAGAGAGATGTTGAGGAAGGTACAAAGAGTGAGGAAAATTCTACAGCTGCATATAATAAGGTCCTGACTGAGTGGAGGAAAAGATGGAATGTCAGGTCAGGGTCACCCATAACAACAAAGATGCCTGATGAAATAATCAGGAGAGGTGACCATGGAGATGCCTTCAAGAGAGACTTTGTGGTGTTTGCTGTCTCATCTCTGCTCCGGGGAAATACTGGAAGATATGCCAACTATCGAGTTATCAAGTCATTGCTCAACATCCGGTCAATCTCAAGACTTAATTGGTGCAAGTACACGTACAATTCTTTAATTGATTCGTATGACATTTACAAAGACTCTCCTACCAGATCCTTTGGAGGTCCAATGGTATTCATCCTGGTAATATCCCATTATACATAAAATGTTCTAATTATGTAATTATATTCATGCAATTATGGAATCATAGATATGCAATTCTGTATGTGTGGTTATGCCCTTATGGATGTGTAGTTTTATAATTGTGGAATTGTGGTTTTCCAATTATGGAATAATAGTTTTACAATTATGGAATTATAGTTAATCAATTATAGATGTGTAGTTTATGGATTATGGAATTATAGTCATCCAATTATGGAATTATAGTTATGCAATTATGGAATTATAGATATGCAATTCTGGATATCTAGTTTTATAATTATGGAATTATAGATATGCAATTCTGAATATGTAGTTATTCAATTCCTTAACATACTCTTCTGTACTTCTTGAAGCTCTTCTACTTTGACCGAGTACAGTTCAGAGGCATGACCGTCAACCGCACATTCCCAGCAATAAAAGCTTGGACAAAAAGCCTTGTACGCAAGCGAGTATCGGCTGAGATAAAATCAGGGGGTTTTGGTAAGGGCAAAGTTATCCCTTGATTTCAGAGACCTACTGCCATTGCATCTACATCATCACCCCGACCTGCACCTCCTCCTGCTGCAATACCAAGGCCAGTGTCCAGCCCTGCTGCTACACCAACTATTCCAGCTCCATCTGTGCCTCTGACAAATGTTGACCGAGTAACAAATGTGCTTCAACGGCTTACAGCAGATGTCCTTGAGTTCGGTCAGGTCATGTCTGACATTGGCAAGCAAGGGGCCCCGGTTGAAATCATGAAGAGGGCTTTTTCAGGAATATCAACAATGCTGAGTGCTGCAAGCACAATTCAACCGACTCCTAGCCCAACTGCCTCGCAATTGGATGACATCTTCTTCGGAAGTGAGAGCTTCACATCAGCAGTTGATTCTCTGGTAGCAGCTTTTGAAAAAACAAGAAAGGAAATGGAAATAGAAGTCCCATCATTTGAGCTACTTGGACGCTCTACACCAACCCCACCACCATCTCAACAGCAGCCTTTGGACACCTTGGTGGATAACATTGTGAGGAGTGCAGGAGTATCAACCTCAACAGAGAAGGAAGCAACTCCATTACTAATCAGAGTGCCATTCGAAAAGTCCACCACTCCTACTACCCCTGCTGCCCAAACTGCTGCTGAGATTGATGAATTTGATAAGTAGGTTACTGCTTTCTTATGCAGATTTAGACTATAAATATGGTTTTCAATTCATCAATAATTATGAATATTAAGTTTGATTAATATGAATATATTCTTATTCAACTAGTGACGTTGATTTCTTTACAATTATGGATATGTATTTCTCAAATTATGGACATATAGTTTATAGATTATAGAAATGTAGTTATACAATTCTGGAATTATACTTGTGGGGTTATGAACTGCCTCTGTTTTTTTCTGGACAACAGGGCTATGGATGAAAGTGAATCTGATGTTGAGGATGTTACTGTGAGAAAGAGACCTGTGCGCAAATTCAGGAACATCCCGCTTCATTTGAGGTCACCATATTGGAATAAGAACAAAGGCTCCATCAATAATGCAACTCCCAAAGAAAAGGTTTTTTCAAACTACGCATTTTTGGAAGCCTCAAGTGAGCACCCGGGAGGGTATGTTTCCATCCACCAATTTTACTTAAATTTTATTCATTAATTTATGTTCTTATATTTATTTATTTACTGTATTGTAGAGAGACATTGTTCAAATATGGTGATTACTACTTCACAAGGGATGATTTTGCAACTATGTGCAACGGTGAGCTACTGAGCAGCTTCCTAGATGTCTGGTCCCTACGTTTTACATTGCTGAACATGCCCCGTGCGGTTGGGGAGACAAAGCGGGTCTACTTCTCCACCCTAGTACATGTAAGTGTTCACAAATTATGAATATATAGTTTTTAGATTATGGATATGTAGTTATTCAGTTCTGGATGTGTACCTGTGAACCCCTGGTTTTATAATTTTGTAATTCTGGAATTATAGTTATGCAATTATAGAACTATACTTATGCAATTATGGAATTGGTTATATGCAATTATGGAATTATTGATATGAAATTATGGAATTATAGTTATCCAATTATGGAACTATAGTTGTACAATTCTGGAAATGTATATATATATAACTCTGTATGTATAACTTTAACATTTTCAACAAATATTATTTGGATTATGACTACTCATTCCTGCATTTGTATGTGCAGCTTCAAATTGATCCCAATGATCAGTGGATGAAGGATCTCCCAACTCACATAAAAATGAAGAATTTCAATGAGAGATTGAGCTATGAAATAACCAGCTTCGGGAACCTAGACATCAGTGATGCAGATCTGATAAGTTCTATTACCCATGTCCAATTTGACTTTATCATGTCCAAAAAAATACTAACATTGCTTTAACTTTGAATTGGAATTAGATATTTTTCGCAGTTCATCGCCATGGTCACTACTTCTTGGTCTGCTTCAATGTGAAAGAACATAAAGTACAGGTCATTGACAACAAGGAGTTACCAGCTGGTGTTTCGGAGAAGGACAAATATGGCAACTGCCCACACTTATTGGTAATTTTGATAAAAAAAACTTGACATTCTTACCATTACCTATCTATTGACATAAAAGCATTATCAACACTAAACTAACTTTTCTGACCAGATTGAAGCATTCAGTGGTTACCTTAAGGCCGAGTGCCACTCCTTGTATGTGAAATTGCAAAAAGTTGATATAAAGTACCTTAAGTTGGACTGGGCAAACACTGAAAACGTCACTGATTGCGGGATCTATGTACTCCGTCATATGGAGACATTCCGAGGGACTCTACAAGACTGGCAGCCAGGATTCAAGAAAAATATGCGCTTGAATGTAAGACTACCATACATATTATAGTTTCAAAATACATTAAAAAATAAATAAAACTGCGAATGACTAATTACTTAATGTTCTTTGTTTATAGGCAAGCTTCATGTGTGAATTGCGAGCGAAATATGCTGCGAACCTCATAAAGTGGAGAATGAATGAAGTCAGGGGGGAGGTTCTGCAAGCAGCCAAAAGAGTTTCGAAGAAGAATTGAATGAATATTCTTCAACATGTTGACTGAATTCTAAACAATTAGAAAGTTTTTGTGAACTACATTGACAATGTGACTTGTATTTTGTGAATGTAGATGCATGATGTTAATAGCTAAATAACAATTTACATCTGATCTATGCACCTCTTTCTCTTTTCTCTTCTTTTCTTTTCTTTACTTTTTTTTTTTGTTTTTGTTTTCATGTATCAAATCTATAATTGCATGACTACTATAAATCCAGAATTGCAAAACTATAGTTCCATAATTGCATAACTATAATTCCATAATTTCATAATTATAATTCCATAATTGTATATAAACAATTCCACAATTGCATAACTATAGTTCCATAATTGCGTAACAATAATACCATAATTGCAAAACTATACATCCATACTTGCATAACTATACACCACAATTTCATAACTACAAATTCCATCACAATGGGGACTACACATGCATAAATGCATAACTATATTTTCATAATTGAATGACTATAATTTCATAATTGCATACCTTTCATAATTGCATGACTACAATTCCATAATTGTATAACTATAATTCCATAATTTCATAACTACAGTTCCAAAATTGCAAAACTACATATCCAGAATTACAAAACTAAAACTGTATAATTGCATAAAATCAATGATAACAACTTGTATTTCTCAATCTACACCTACATTGTCATCTAAACCCTTACTAAACTGAACAAAATCTGAACTTGAAGAACTTGGATGTACAAGGTATCCATCCCCAGCAAGCTTGGATATGTTTTCCAACACCAAAGACTGAACAGCACCCTTTGTACTCAATGCAGCTTTATTTGCAGCACTCCTTCTCCCCCTTGCAAGACTGTACTTCTTTTCAATAACACCACTCCTCCTTTTGTTACGCTCACCTTTCAATCTCCGACTTGAAGGATTTTGAACACCACCACTTGAAGATGAAACACCACACTCTTCAATATGCACATGCCTAACCTCGGCTTCAACCTTTTTCTTTACATCATCAACAGCCTCGTCACACAGTTTCCTCGCTACGCTGCTATCTTGACTAGACACAACTAATCTTTGAAATTTTCTACTAATATCGAACACCCAAATTGATGGAGGAACACCAACATTATAAACCATAGAATCAATGTTGACATTCCTACCATCAATAACCTTTTTAGTCCATCTTTTAAGTATATATTTGTCGGGAATACTAGAAACACAATGTACGTGAAGAATGCGTATACAATGACAACATAGAATTCCCAACTCAGACATCAACTTGCAACTACAAGAAATGTCCAAGTTGGCTGCGTTAAAACTAACCTCATGCCTTATAATATCTATATCTGGCCGCCACACGTGATACTTCTGTTGACGGCCATCATTCAACACCATCTCTTGATGACACGCACTGCCTTTCATGAATTGTTCCTCAAACAGAAAATATATCTCAATCGTGTATACCTCTCTAGCATGTGAAAGAAGTTTCACATGCTCCATCATCATAGCGGGTACCCCTTGAGCACACCGAAAGTCTTCACCGTTCTCTTTACTTCTCCATTCAGAAATTACGCTTACAAACGATGAATAGAAATCACAAAGACCCGCTGTCTTGGACAACCTTCTAGAAATCGAATGATTTGTAGTTTCACTCCTTTGTGATGATAGAATGCCCCCAGAAAAATAGTCCTTGTTAAATGCTGGACACCACTTCTCCCTACAGTCATATAGCTTTTCTAACCAAGTATTCTTGTGACATTTATAGTCAGTCACCAACCTGAAAATGGTAAGACAAAATCCCAAATGATTATGAAGCAGAATATTAACAAGCAGCATCACCACATCTAACACATACTCAGAATTTCTATTGCTCTATATACATAATTGGAATACTATATGTCCATAATTGATAGACTATATATCCATAATCCATACTACTACATTTCCAGACACCACCAGTAAGTTCAACTGCTATATATCCATAATCGGTATACTATATATCCATAATCGGAATACTATATATCCATAATCCATATACTACATTTCCAGACACCACCACTGCTATATATCCATAATCGAAATACTATATATCCATAATTGATGCACTATACATCTATAATTACAAACGTAATGCAATAAAAACGATTAATTACTAACATACCTTGTCCAATAGAATTGAAATTCAGCTTCGGTCTCTGTGTATTTCAACACGTAGTTAAACATATCCAAGAAATCCTTATTGCTCCTTAACGTCTTGATATGCTTCTTTGAATTCTCACCGATATGCCATATGCAAAGACGATGACGTGATGTTGGAAACACTTTAGATATAGCAGCAGCCATAGCTGCACATTGATCTGTCATAATAGTCTGTGGAGACTTGCCACCCATTGATCTTGAAAACACTTTAAACAACACACAAACGATTCTATCCTCTCGTTCATCAAAAACCCGCATCCAAACATTACATTCATGCAATGGTGATTCATCCCTACGAAAGGGGCACAAATCATATCGTATTTGTTTGTGCGATATGTCGTATCATGCACTAACAAGTCCCCAAACACCTCGTAATCTCGTCTCATTTGACCATCCCTCCAAAAAAAACTGCACAACCTTGCATCCAAGTCAAGTTCAAAATCAAAGAAAAAATCAGTCTCGGTAGACTGCCTCCTCCTAAAAATTTCAATTAAAGAGTTAGAATCCGTTCCATCCAATCGCTTGACAGTATCCGCACCCATTGAATTATAAGCATCTCTACTGGTGAAACCAACTAAAGGGGACCCCCCCCCCCCCCCCCCCCGATTGGTGTTTTAGGAACCTAATACCATCTGCCAATGCAACACCACTGTCCTTCAAACCTTGTAAATATAAGAGCTGATTATCTCCGACACTCCTATGTGAACAAAGTAGATGACTCTTGTTGAACACACATAACTCGTGATTGTGCACTTTCTCGTGTTTCGTAACTGTCCACAACCCATCATCACCCACGTCAAATTGAACAAACGCTCCACACCCTGTCCTTGTGTCAATTTTGGAATAAGCCTTAACCCCACTGTTAGCCTTGTAACCAGCCTTAGAACAACAAAATTTCTTCATTTGAATTGTGTTCGAAGATCCCTTGTATCGTTGATGACCCTTCCTCACACTAAAACCAAGTCTATATGCATAACTGTTATACACCTCAAAAGCCTCATCAGCATTACTTACTACCAAACCAACCAAATCTTGATCAACTGCAAATATAACACAATAATAACCATTTCCATTAACACATAATTCCTAACCATAATTTGCTAATTAAAAGGTAAACCACTATGAATAAACCTGGAATTGATGAAGATCCATCAACATCTACATCTACTTGATCTGAACTCACTGAACCATCCACAATGCCTTCACTAACTACATTATATAGACATGGTGAACATTAATTCAAACAGTTCATCAAACAGAAAAAACAGAGTGTCTACAGATTCTGTATATATAGTTATATGATTATGGAAATATAGTTATACAATTCTGGATACACAGTCGCAACAAACTGCCAAAACAGAGTACCCCTAATTCTGAATATATAGACATGCAATTCTGGAAATATAGTTATGAAATTATGGAATTATTGTTTTCAAATTCTGAAATTGTTGTTACACAATTATGGAAATTACTTACGTGATTTTGCACAACTATTTGCAGATTCTAGACACAAACATCACTGCTAATCACATAATCATACAAAAAACCAAAAGGAACGATTGCAAAAACAATAACAAGATCACCTTGAATCGAATGCCAATCATCAACTGCGGAATTCGTCTGCTCTGTTCCATCCTCCATCTATCAATCACTTTGTAATTCCCGATTTCGATTTGCGATTGCGATTTGCGAATGCGATTGAGATTGCGATCGCGATTCCGGTGATATCGAATGCCAATACCACAGCGAACAACTGCCAACGATCGAGTTTGAAACTTGGAAACAAACTCAAAAGGAATTTGGAAGTAAACGCCGTTAACGGAATTTTTTTTTTTTTATAAAACCCCGCGTCATTAGGCTAAAACGACGTCGTGTGGATCTGTATGCACCATGCATGGTGCATACAGATCCACAGCATAATTTGCCTATTATTGGCAATGGGGCGCGAGGCCCACATAAACGCGCACAAGCCCAATGTCGCAGGCCCAGAAACAATAGTACATGAAATTTATACGGTGAAAAGGGAAATAAACAGATAGACAGAAACCTGAATTACATACATAATACCAGAATCGATCTTTGGACCATTAGGAGAGAGAGAAGACTCAAACCGCTAGGCTACCAGGTCTTTGGTGTTTCTTGCCCTGTCCTAAACTGACCACAGCCCCCCATTTTATATCCTCTCAGGACTTCTGCATACCACCCACGTGTACAACATCTACAGACCTCCAGCTCCCACCATACATGTGTCCTCCCCTCTCCGCACGTACCCCAACTGCTCGAACGAGACCGATTTTGTCGCGCACTCTCCCGGGATCCCGGGGAATCACCTTCCCAATAAAATTTTGCAAGAATGAGAAAAATAGATTTTTCCGAATATAGAAACAGGAATTGAGGAAAGAAAGCAAGTTCGAATATAGGAACTATGCCCAACGTGTGTGTGTAGAAAACATGCCCGCTGGGTGCATGCATTGCCTCTCTTTTTTTTTTTTTTTCTTTTTTTTCTTTTTTCTTTCACCCCAACGATAAACATAAAAAAAAAAAAAAAAAAAAAAAAAAAAAAAAAAAAAAACCTCACCTCTTAGTTTTGTGTAAAGAAAAAACCCTAAAAAAATTTACAGATGGAGAAGCTCTTAACAAGTGAAATTAAAGGCCATTGTTGATGCTTGTACAATCATATTTGTTTTTGAATATGGAGTATTTTTATAGCTTCGTTGAATAGTATTAAATATTAATCATTTCTTCTAGATTTATCTATATCCCTCAAATACTCTCACCTTTAAAAGATCTTATCACAATATTTACAATTCATCAATAATTTCTGTGTATACCGAGATTCTTGATGAACATTATTTTTATTAGTATTTTAGTTAATCTTATTATAATTCGTAGGTAATATTTAATTAATTAATGTATCTTTTTCGTTAGTTATTAAAAAAGTGATTACTGCATTGATAAAATATCATTCTCGTCCTGTCCTCGTTCTCCAAATATTTTGTCCTGTATCTTTCCCGTTAGAGTGAGAATTGGGGATCTCGTCGAGAGAATAGGAAAAATTATCATCTTATCAATTATTGTGGCAATGTCACATTTAATAATACTTCTTTTAATATTGCCATATTAAATCCTTAACTTGTATTTGCATGTCACAATTAATCATATTTTTCAATTATTCCCATTCAGCCGTTTAATAAATAATTTTTTCATTCAATTAAATGAGAATGAGAAAAATTACATATTGCAGCAAGATGTTTGAATGATGAAATTATACTTTAACCATCTTTACTAAATAGTATAATAATATTTTTAAACGAATGACTAATTCACAAACAAAGAATAAAAGTCAATATAATGATATAATTAAGCTAAGTTAAAGAATAGAACTAAACGTGACAATGTTCTAACAATTTTCGTATTAAAATAAATTAATATTCCTTCATACGATTTTGATGATCAACTTTTTTTGTTTTTTGTTTTTGTTTTTTTGGTTGTTGAAAGTAACGTATCTATAATGCAGTCAAATTAAAATAAATTAATACTCCTTCCATAGCTCACACTGCCTAGTGGCCATTTTGGCAAAGCCGTCTATTTATTTAATTTGACGCCTTTTTGTCTTTATGTTCGGAATATATTTTAATTGTAGGAGACAACTTTAAGCCAATACCATATTCAAATCAATCTCTGTTAATACATATTAGATGCAATTAAGAAACAAAGTATTGGCCAGATTAATTTCTCATACAAAATGAGGGTTCGAACTCTCAAACTCTCTTAAAAAAGGATACTGCCTTGTCTTTCTTGTATTTATTGTTTGGTATGTAAGGCAACTGAAGAGTACATTAATAAGTACCTTTTTTTATTAAAAATGTAAAAGTGAAAACTGAAACTCATGTTAACATCATGGGGTGCTACACATTAGTTTGCAACTAGCTAGGCAAACTCTGACCTTATAAGTTCAATGGTTTCTTTCTCCACTCTAAAAGCTTTGGAAAGGATATCGACGGAAATGGTCGGAACTGATCCAAAAAGTAGAGACGAAATAGGAGCAATGCCAGGATTTTGACTGTTTAAACTGTTAAAACTGGTTGCCTTAACTTTCCCAACATTTGCCCGATAATGAAGTAAACTTGGGGGAATCACAAAAACATCTCCAGCATTCAATGTTTTGACATCGAGACGATTCTTCGCCAGATTGCTCAAAAACCAAGATCAGGTATATGCCCAGTGTATTTAGTCCGGCGATTCGATCAACATCGACCGTGTTGACAGTTATGCCGACACCTGTTGGAACACCACTGACATTTAAACCGGAGGTGGAGAAGCATCTTCTGTCACCTTTTTTGGGTCTTTACAAACCCTTCCATTCACAAAAACTGCATGCATAAAACATTGAGACTTAAATTTCATGAATAATAAAAAGCAAATGTTCTATGTCGGATTTGCGTGCCGGAAAATATTTCTTTTCATTATTTTGAAAATTTTTCCAACCACCCATAGGCCATAATCCAAAGTTCCAATCACCTTTTGTCACTTACGATGATCGAAAATTAAGGGAACATAATGATAACATAATTGATTAAATTTTTCCAGCACTTTTGGATGATAATCAAATTTAATTTTTCTAACTAAAAACATTAAGACTTTGGCTGCGAGTTGGAAGTTATAATTTTCATAGTACCAAAATTATGTAAATAAATCAATAAAAAGTGGAAATGAAAGAATATTTACCAGTAGTTTTGGGATCATTTGCCGCAACACAGAAGTCTTGAAGAGGGCTTCGATCAAAAGCATGAGCAAATGAGAAAACAAGAGCAATAATGGCTAAGGTTGTTGGCAGGAAGAAAGCCATTGTTTTGTTTTTTTGGTGGTGTGATCATATTCTTCTTGAATGTTACTTATATATGGTTTTTTCTCGAGTACAGTCCAAATTATATTTGGTAAAACAATATTTGTGGACTAATTATTAAGTTGATTGCGAACAATCACACGGATTTTAACTCAATCATACCAATATTTAAATATTTATATATAGAAACAGAAATTTAAAGCTATAATGAAAATTAAATCACATTCTACAGTTACCTACCGGCTTTCACATACATAAAATCTTGAAATTTGGTAACCACGGAACTTGGCCTGATCAAGGATATTACCATTATTAAGGGGGCGTTTGGTTCAGGTTATATAACATAACCAAGGGAATGTGACATTCCAAAACTCACATTCCTATGTTTGGTTCATATTATCTTAGAGAATATAACATTTCCAAGGAATGTCACATTCCCTCCACGTAGGATTTTGAAGGGAATGTGATTCCCTTCAAATTTTTAGGTTATGTAAGATAACCTTGGTTTTGTTAGTTTATATATATATATATATATTTTTTTTTATTTTTATTATGTTATGTTAGCATATAAAATAATTTTGTTTCTCAAGTTCAAGATTTTAGTTTTTTTTTTTTTGAAAGTTACTGGCTCTATTACATTGTAGTATCTGTTCATATACTTTCTCAACCTACTGAAACACAAAGAACCAATAACGCCTCCACTGAGGCTCGAACTTATAATCTTCCAAATGGAAGTCCAACCCGGATACCATTGGACCACATAGTCCTGGTCAAGATTTTAGTTAATATTATAAAATCATGTAATTATATATGATACCGTTATCTTATTTATTTATTTATTATAATTTTTAAATTTATTAAAATATATGAAAATATGTTAAGGATATTATAGTGTGTATAAAAGATAACCCTAAACCAAACATGATTATATTACATACTCCAATTTTAACCAAACACAGGAATCTAATATTCCCAGTAATCTAACATTCCCAGCAATCTAACATTCCGTGAACCAAACTATCCCTAAGGGGATACGCTCTGAGTAATAGGGCGTTTGGTTGGAAGGGGGGAATTACACAGGAAAATAATTGTAATTTTAGACTGTGTTTGAAATTAAAACCCGGAAAATGATTTCTGGAAATCATTTTCCGAGTTTTTGGTGTTTGGCTACACCTGGAAAATCCAGTCAACGAAAAATATTTTCCGTTGACTGGGAAAATGAGCTCAATTTGGCGAAAAATGACTTCTGCTAAATTTGGGCGGAAGTCATTTTCCGCCACTTCTATTCCTTTTTTTTTTTAAGCTTCTGGCGGAACTGGTTCCGCCGGAAACCATAGCTATGGTTTATGACGGAACCCAGTTCCGCCGGAAGCCATAATTTTTTTTTTTTTTAGTTTTAAAGATTTAAAATGTATTTTTTTATTCAGAATAAAATAATTAAAATATTTAATTATACCATTTTACTCATTTTCCAGAAAATGAACCAAACACACCAAAACAGTTTTCCAAATGCAACCAAACACGGGAAAATGAAAATGTTTTCCGGAAAATGACTCATTTTCCCGAAACCATTTTCTAGAAGTCATTTTCCTGCTTTCCAAACAAACGCTTACAGGGCGTTTGGTTGGAGGGAGGAATTATGTGGGAAAGGAATTGTAATTCCATGGGAGTTGAATTACTAGGAATAAAGTGAGAATTTAAATTACAGTGTTTGGTTGACAGGAATAGAATTACTGAGAATTTCAATTCCAATGTTTGGTATACATGGGAATTGAAAGGGAATAAGTAGTATAAAGTCAAAAATGTCCATTATTGTTGTTAGATATTAATTTTAGGTTAAAAAAGGAAGGGATAATTTTGACTCATCACTATCTTTTTTTCCCAGGAATTAAAATCCCAGGGGGGGACATGAGATTTTAATTCCATGAAAATGGGGGAATTGCAATTCCATGGAATTGCAATTCCCTCCAACCAAACTACGGAATTTAATGGCCTTTGGAATTAGGTGAGAATTAAGTGGGAAGGGAATTTAAAATCCCTCCAACCAAACGCCCTGTTATGGGAGATGAATTACTGAGAATAAAGTAGGAATTTAAATTCCAGTGTTTGGTTTATAGGAATAGAATTACTGGGAATTTCAATTTCAATATTTGGTATACATGGGAATTGAAAGGGAATAAGTAATATAAAGTCCAAAATGCCCATTGTTGTTGCGGTATTAATTTTAGGTTAAAAAAGAGAGAGGTAATTTTGTCTCATCACTAGCTTTTTTTCTTCCTAAAATCCCATGAATTAAAATCTCGGGGGGACATGGAATTTTAATTCCATGAAAATGGGAGAATTGCAATTTCATGGAATTATAATTCCTTCCAACCAAACTAAGGAATTTTATGGCATTTGGAATTAGATGGAAATTAAGTGGGAAGAGAATTTAAATTCCCTACAACCAAACCAAACACCCTGTAAGTTGTTTAACCGAATAACATGTTGTAGTTGCTTAATAGACTTCTTCTAGTACTAAGTTGATTAACATGTGTTTTCAAAAAAAAAAAAAAAGTTGATTAACATGTAGTAGTATTGTAGTAAGTTGATAAGCTTGCAGTATATAATTCGCCGAGTGTGTTTATGAATCTGTATACAGGTTTATAAAGTCATTACTATAAGTTAATCAACTTACTACTATAAAGTCATCACGTTATTAGAGTAAAAGACATTTTTAGTCCTAAATTTATAGTGGCTTGGACAATTTTAGTCCTTTTATAAAAAAATTTGCCATTTTATGGACAGAGTTATTGTGGCGAGGACATTTTTGGTCCTCCGTCTATATTTCTGTTAGATAACCGTCTGAGAGAGGGGTAATTACGTCAATTTAGGCTATCTCCTTCTATCTATTATATCTATGTGTGTTTTGTTTTCTTCTCGGTCATAATTCGAAGGAGTCGGAGAGTCCAAGTTGCAGTTGTACGAAGAAATTGTCGGAGAATCGAAGCCGCCAAACAGGTTACTAATCAAATAGATAGAAGGAGAATCGAAGCCGCCAAACACACATTGATATAATAGATAGAAGGAGATAGCCTAAATTGACGTAATTGCCCCTCTCTCATACGGTTATCTAACAGAAATATAGACGGATGACCAAAAATGTCCTCGAAATATAGACGGAGGACCAAAAATGTCCTCGCCACAATAACTCTGTCCATAAAATGGCAAATTTTTTTATAAATGACTAAAATTGTCCAAGCCACTATAAGTCTAGGACCAAAAATGTCTTTTACTCACGTTATTATTATAGGTTCATCATCTAATTACTATTACACATTCATTAAGCCCGTTAATTACCATATATGTTTATTAAGTTAGTACTATATGTTTACAACTTACTACTATGGTCTATCAAGTTATTACTACATATTCATCAAGCTATTACTTTAAGTTCATCAACTTACTACTACAATTCCATCAAGTCACACAATTGAAGGCCCAATAACTTACTATTACATTTTCCTCGATTCACTACTACATGCTCATAAGATCAACTCACTTTGACATGTCAAGTATGTCACTAATATAAATTCACAATCAAATTATTAAAATGATATCAATATATTAAAAGATTATATCAATATGTGTGTTATTTAAAAATTTGAATTAGATTTTTTTATCATACAGTAATGTTATTCACACAAAAAAATAGAGAATAATAATATATATAAGGGATGGTTGTCATTGGTTGGTTTGACAATTGGCGCCACTATGATGATCTATAGTATTGTTTGATCTATTTAAATTTTTGATAAGTTTATAGTATTATTTTAATGAATCATATAGTCTATGTTGTAACATGACCCCTTGTCCAAAGATATAATTTGCAAGTCCAACCCCAACAGGTGAAGTACCGCGCGCAAATTATGCAGTGGACTCGTGTCCACAATGCATTGTGGACACGAGTCTAAAACGACGTCGTTTTGGAGGAAAACGCGTCATTTCAGTTTTTTTAAAAAAAAAAATTGATTTTGTCTCACCGTTAACGGCGTTATTCGTTTGTGCCATTATGAATGTACAGTTATGGGATTATGAATGTACAGTTACGGAATTATGAATGTACAGTTATGGAATTATGAATGTAAGTTATAAAATTATGAACACAGAGCTCTGACATTATGAACTTACAATTATGAACATATAGTGATAAAATTATGAACATAGAGCTCTAAAATTGTGAACATCGAGCTTTGAAAATTATGATTTTACAGTTATTGAATTATGAATGTACAGTTACGGAATTATGAATGTACAGTTATGAATTATGAATGTACAGTTATGCAATTATGAATGTACAGTTATGAAATTATGAACACAGAGCTCTGACATTATGAACTTACAATATGAACATATAGTGATAAAATTATGAACATAGATCTCTAAAATTGTGAACATAGAGCTTCGAAAATTATGAAGTAACAGTTATGAATGTACAGTTACGGAATTATGAATGTACAGTTATGGAAGTATGAATGTACAGTTATGAAATTATGAACATAGAGCTCTGACATTATGAACTTACAATTATGAACATATAGTAATAAAATTATGAACATATACTCCTATAAAGCGGTCTGAAATTAAAAAAAAAAAAAAAAAAAAAAAAAAAAAAAAAAAAAAAAAAAGATAACAGTGCCTAACGGCACTGTTACCCGTGTCCAGCATGCATGCTGGACACGGGTCCATAGCATAACGATTGGTGAAGTACTAATCATCCATAAACCTTAAAATGTAAGGCAAATTATGTTGTGGACCCGGGTCCACTTTGCAAGGTGGACCCGGGTTCAAAACGGTGCGTTTTGCTTCAAAACGACACCGTCTGAATTTTTTTAGAAAATAAAAAAATTACACTCTATGTTCACAATTTTTGAACTCTATATTCACAATTACAGATCAGAACTCTATATTCACAATTGCATAAATCTATATTCACAATTACAAAACTCAATATTTATAAGTAA